AGAAATTTGTCATTGTCACACTGTGTTCTATGGATTTTTTTTTTTTTTTCAAAAAGTGGAAATTGACTTTGAAAAAAAATGAAAACTGTCTCCGAAGCGTATCTTTCTGATTTTTTTTTTTTTTTGTTATTGCCTTTATCAAAGTATTTCAGTGTCTGAATGTGGGCGGACAAGTATTCCATACGGCAATGATTAAGTTCATTTATATTGCAAAATGGAAGCACGTTCTTTACAAACTTGTTTTTTTTTCTATTCATTTGATAAATAAATGTACCATGATCTCAAAATTTCATTTTCTGATAAAAGTATTAATGGTAAAAATTAGCTGACTTGTTTTGAAGAAAACGGTTTAAAGTGTTTGTTTTCCCCCGTTAATCCTGATGTTTGTCGTAGACGTCAATTACCAATTAAGAAGACAAGTTTTCATTTGAAACCTTAGTGACTTTATCATATATTATTCTTGTTCATTTTAATGATAAAATGATAATTTATTATCTTTGACACACACAAACACACACTCAGCATGGGTTAACGCTGTTAAATGTGTGTAGATCCATTGTTTGGCTTTGGTCAGGTTTCGTTCTAGTTTTATGACCTCTATTGTAAGAAGGGTATACTTGCTTTGCTAATTGAAGATCCATATTTAAATAAAATATCAAGTTGTTTCTGGAAGTATCATTTCTATCTTAAACAGAAAGTCTGAAACAAACATTCGTTCATTGCTATTTTTCGTTTTAATGAAATGATTACAAATAAAAAGATATATATATATAACAACAGAATGAATGCTGCACAGTTGCATAATCGAGTTTAGGTTGTAATCATGTGACTTACAGCAAGCAGACGAATCAAGTAAATTTCGAATTATGAATTTTCTTAAAATCCAGTTAAGAATGAGAAGACTAGTCTTCGAACTTTGATGTGAGGTGATCGTCTTTATAATTTTACTTTGTTCTCATGGCTTTGTTCCCATTGATGAATTCAAAAACCCTGCGTACCTTGAGTTCGACAAGGGAGGGAAAATAATGATTGCTGTAGATATGTAAAATGTATCCAAGTGAATTGTCATTTTTGGAAAAAAAATCTCTACTTCTATTTCTTAATAGTCTTTCAAAAGCATAATGCAAATAAGTCGTATATATTAGATTATCAGAAATATCTGCACAAAGCAATTAGTTTCCCTTAATGAATGTTGCGCTCTTACATTTATTCAGACCGATAGGAACTTGTAGATTTAAAGGCATGGGCGGCCTAATACTCTACCAATATATCTATGATAATTGAACACGTATGTAAAAACTCTTATTTTCTATTTAATAGGAGTTTATTTGATAAGTATTTTTGATCTTCAAAACTGTCTTGTTCTAATATTGAAGTAAAGTACAAATTGTAGAAATTAGCCTCCTCGATGACACTGAGAAGGACTGTAAGTGTTTGTTTGTGTCCCTCTGTCATTCCAATGTTTGTCGAAGTTTTCATCATTTCATTTAAAATGTTCAGACTTAATTTGCAACCCCCCCGTGGTTAAATCAAGTGATGTTTTTCATATCCATGAAAGAATTTTGCCATTTTTATCATTTACAGATTTTCTTGGCGTGAAACAATTCTACTTTTATGAACATATCATTATTTCTTCATTGTTGTTATGATGTATCAAAGTTTTCTCATCCTATGCTAACGAATACGACGTCTGTAAGACAATTAAAGGTATACCAAGTGTCAATCTTTAAAAAAAAATATTTATTTTCATTATTTTTGAACCAATGCTTTAGTTATTCTAAACAGTTTTGAATCACAAACTTTCGAAGAAGAGAATATTTGCAAATTATGCTACCATGAAAAGAATGGTTATGAGAAAATTTTATTTGAATCCAAGTCTGACCAAATTTAGCTGCGTTGTACCTTTTAATTTAACAAGTTATTGCAATATTTCATAATTAATTTTTAGCTAGGTAAAACAATATTTTAACTTTTTAAGTCGTAAGAGATGTAAGCAGACAACAGACAATTCTTAGTTAAATTAATATAATGTATAGATTAAGTTTAGAGTCGTTTTGTATGAAAGAAATGCATAAGGTTATTTTTTTTTTTATGAAAGTCTTGCATCATTAAAATATGAAGCACAGCAGAACATAACTCGGTAATATTGTGCACATTTACCTTGACAACGAGAGAGTGATTGAATATGATGTGGGCGAATTAATATCCTGTAGAGGCGTTTAATGATGATAATAATGCAAAGTAAGGGATTTACATTTCTAAAAAACAGGTTTCCGTCGTCCTCAGTAAATAATGTCGTAGAACTATAGCAATTTTGATATCTCTTCACTATTTAGACTCATATATGTTTCATTCAAACTTTACTCACTTGCCAACAAAAGCAATCATTTTACGTCAATAGTTAAACTCTTCCAATCTTCAAATCAACAGAGTAAATTAGTTGGAACGTATTTTCATTCAGATAGCTTTTTGTTGAATAAAGACCTGAAAACAAGCAATTTTTTCAGTTTTTCTTCCTGAAGTCATATGCAACCATGTTGAGTGTTTAACTCGTCAAAAGCAATGGGATTATTTATATTGTTAAGACTTAAAAATGATTGATTCTATTTCTATTTTAAATTTCAATTTTACTATTTTTTTTTAATTGAAGAAACGTGTATTTTATTGACAATGACAAAACTTTTTTTCCTAACAAAACTGGTAACAGTTGAAGAGAACAATAAATATTCAAACAAATGCAACAGGCAATGCGCATTACGTGGAAGAATTAACCAAGACAGCGGACTTTCTCGATAATATTTTATAAAATACATCGAGGATATTCAATGTTTTATAGTTGGATATTGAATATATTTCACGACTGAGACAGGATTTTTCTTTTTATATTTTCACGAGTGTGAAGCACTCTAACGGGTGGAATAAATTCGATATCCAAGTAAAAAATATTGAATTTTTTGTTCATTACATTTTTTTTGATTTTCCTTTTGTCTCTGTCTTTATATAACGCAGTGTCATAAGCTGTGATGTTATAAAAGTGAAACGTCACGGCTTACCGATTTTGAGATTGAAAACATGTGAACATGGATTTCAATAACATATTTGGAGAAAGTTTGGCAGTTTTAGTCTCCCTTAAGATGGTTTACTCTCTCTCTCTCTCTCTCTCTCTTATCATGTAACAGGAATATTTTTTACAACACTCTTCGCAAAGGGAAGAAAATCGAGAGTTTTGCCTCAAATCTGATTTTCTTTCTCATTGTAACAAAATATCCTTTTGATATTCTTTCACACTGTGACATAATATCACTTTAATTCAATAAATAAATTACAGTATTTCACTTTGAACTTTATCTTATTTGTAATCTAAAACAGATTCTCAGATTTGTATAAATTCGGGCTCACTACTAGTATATAATAATTAGGTTGATATAAATGACATTGTTTGCTTTAAAAATTGCCTCAGTATACAATTGAATAAATAATATTTAATTTACAGATGCTAAAAATATTTTTATCCTATCTTTTCAATGAAATTTAATTGCCTATTTATTTGTACATTGATGCAGATACAAAGATATCTGATAAGCTAAAATTTAAAAAAAAATTAAGGAATGAAAATTTTATCTATAAGACAAGTATATATGCACTACATGATACAACCAACATATTTTGAAGGGAAACATACAGAACTCGATATGTACTTTTAGAAGCATGAAATGCTTCCGTTTTTGTCCAGTGCATAGAAAATGAAAGACAGCTAAATTAAAACAACGGGATAAAAAATACCCCCTTCGGATTTAGAAAATAAAATGCTTTTTCTTATATGGCTCCTTAGATCAATAACCTCTCCCATTAATTTTATTTTGTATTAAAGCGAATTCCTAAGAATCATATCTGAAATAAACATGCTTTTGTGTTAATTTTGATAAACTGATCGATCCTTTGCGGATGCGTTTTCTTTTCTTGCACGAAAACAAACTACGTTATGTAACTATTAGATAATGCAGTAAAACATATCTTGACAGATGCCTGATTATCATTCTATGACGAAAATAAATTATCTGTCTCAGACACAAATGAGGGGGTAGAAAATAGCCCTCTGTCTGAAATTTACTATAGTTACTTCTCTGTGCAAAAAGATATCCATCACTCATTATTCATTCAATTAAAATTTTTGAATACATTTAACATCTTATTCATCGTTAGTAAACGTACATGATATAAAGTATTCTAAAAAAATCGGTATTTGAGAGGCAAGGGTAAGATAAGCAGTCTTTTAAAAGGTACTGTATGAATTCCAACATTTTAAATGTTTGCAAATGAAAATTTCTGTAATATAGAGTCATTATTCAAACATGTTAATACTTAAACTATTTCTAGACGGGTATTCAATATTGTCTAAAAATATGGAAAATATTTTTAAAATGGCCTACATAGGTCAGATTCAAAAGGCTCATATTGAAAGAAATTCAAAAAATGGTCAATTGACCATTGTTAACAGAGAGATAATTCTATACAAATTAATCATTTATACTCATGTCAAACATGTTTTCTGTTAAAATGATATCTTCTTGTTCTTAATTGACACAAGGGATTTTCTATTTAAATAACTGACCACCTAGATCACATTTTGTCAGGTAGTGTTTAATTCTACTTCACTGAATGTGAGAAACAAGAAACTTTACAATGTCGACTAGCCATGCAAACGGCAATTCATGAATCGTACATTTTTTGCAAAGACATGGTCTTAAATATCGATCTAAAACTCAAAATTCGGGTCGTGCGAAACAATACACGCAGACACCCATTCAGAACAATTAATAAATTCCTTTTGATAAAGCTTCAATTCAACACATCGATTAGATGAGTATCAGAGAACCCCTAGAAAGAGGACCTGCTGGCCAGTGCCAAAATCAGCTCGCATACGGCTGTCAAAATCTCCAGTTACAATGAAGCCTCTCAAGTATCCAGACCAACACTCCCGATCCGGGTGAGGCGCGCGTTTGAGGGAGCACGGTTAGGGATATATGTGGATCGATTGTAAAAGAACATAAGACACGCTTCTGTTAGGAGTTCTCTGTTGTAGTGGATTTAAAAACTCGTCGAATGTAAAACGAGCGGGAAGATATTGACCAGAAAACCGGGAGGGGACTGTGTAAACAAGTTAGCTAATTTTTTGACATGGATTATGCGAATAAGATCTTCTGCATGGATGTCTATTTAGTGAACATGGAGAAAACAGGTATATCCACTCAACGAAAAAAGTCCTCTATAACCCCGTGTGAAACACCGTCGTCGTTTTGTAGACCGTAAGCAATTATTCAGAAAGTGCCTCCCCGTCCTTGTATTCCATTTTGAAAAGAATTCTTTCATAAATATATCGATACAGAAAGTAAGCTATTGATTCTGTTTTCGCTCTTTTTCGTCAAAGACACAAACAGTCTAGGCAGGTTTTTAATTGCACAGGGTTTAATGATGTCAGCGCAATTACCCTTTGCTTTAAAACATGCTGGGTAATTAGTTTTCAGGACTTTGTATTTTGTGTGTTGAGATTCTCAGTGAAAAGCAAGCACTTGGGTAAATGAAAATGAATATGATAAAAATTCGTGTTTCCTATAGCAAAGTTTGAAAATTTAGCATTTTTAAACATTATACACGTACTAATAGATTTTTCAAACATTATATAAATATTGCAGTTTATTTATTTTTTTATCTTTTATACACTGGGTACATAAATATAACCATGTTTTCCCCCAATAACAATAATAAATAAAACCATCAATATCGTTATGATGAATAAAACGCCGATGAAGGTAAAAAACTTTCCAAAATGCATGGTAAAATTCATTGAATACTCAACGTTACGCAAGATAGTAGGTAAAAAATAGTTCTCGGCTAATAAATAAAGTTTTAATTGGTTTAGAAGTGCCTCTAGAGTATATCCTAGACAATCGCAACAACCAAGCTATTTTTTTCAAAATGTTGAAAAATACCTGTTGTATATCTTACGAAGAGGGGGCAATTCATCATTAATGATTTAAAGAGGATGTGTATTTAAATGTCTAAGTGTTTGGAATAAATAAATATACCGTTTTAAGTTCGAATATCACCCAAGGATAACATTAATTAACTTGCATGAAGCACTGGATGGTGGTAAAGCTATCTTGATTTAAAATTCAAATTCTGTTCTAATTCTTAAATATACCCTATACATTATTTCCCCCATTGATAGTATGGGCTGTTACTTTGGCAACCTCTTAAGAAGTCGATGAAATAAATTTATTTGAAGCTGCTTCGTACGATAGTCTATGCTTGCTTTGAAGTTATGACTCAGATCTAATTTATTTAAAGTTATTAAACTTAAAAGTTTATTTATATCTTATGGTATATTGGTGTGTTTTGATGATAGAGAATAATTTTAAAGGACTAGTAGTTATACGATAGAGTCAGAATTAAGACAGTAATGTTCTTCTCACTCGAAATGGATTTTAAACTATGTATACGTGAATATGATTTTGAAGTGATATTTTTTTTAAAAGTGCCGTAGTTTATTGACCTAGTAAATGGTTTCAGGTATGACAATGCTGTCGGCCTAAAGACGGCTAATGATTTTAGATATATACAATAAGGATTTTTTTTAAAAATAAGATTGTGTTCAAATAAGGCCGTAACACAGCTTACATTTAAGGATTGACGTCACGAATACAATATGCTCAATTAGTCGAGAAAAGTAAGATTGTGCCTTTCAGTTTGAAAGGAACGGGACAAAGTAGGCATAAAAGACATATACAACAATTTTCAGGCTGAAAACTTGCATACCAGGTGAAATTATAATCTATATTAATTTTTTGAACATATACACGAAGGTTTTGGGCCATTTTAAAGATATTAATATATTATTCAGCTTAGAATAAAAATTTGGACACATAAATAATTATTGCAACTCGATACACTAAGTTAAACTACCCCGTTGCGTCATGAAGATAAGAGGTGTATCTGCTAAATAAGTCGATTTATTGTTTGAGCTATTGTTCATGTACCTTAAGCATTTCAAGGTTCTGACTAAAATTATTTACATTTATTGTTTGTCCATCAATATCTTTGACACTTGTGTTTTCCATTAATGAAAAAAATACTTATTTAAATACTTGATCTTGAGTGATGTATATTTATTGAGTGTTATTGTTAACATGTTGGAATTCCATACTTGATAGCCTCAGCATCCCAGTCTCGAAATTTACTTAAGTTTACAAACAATATTTATATCTATATTCAAAGTGTAAATCATATACAGTTTTAAGTGTAATTTTTTAAAACTAAAAAAGCAATATATTTAAAATCTATAAAGAATACTGCAGCACAAACATAACAAGAACATAATATAATATTCTTTAGTTCTGAATACATGTATTCATATGACAATTCAGGTCTGAGAATAACATTTTTAATCAATTAATCTAACAATATTTATTTACTACCAAAATGTCAGACACAATCATGTTGTTATGCAAATGATAACCAATAATAACATTATAATAATATTCTGACTTCTTTTACACACACACACACACACACACACACACACACACACACACTCGTAACTTCTGTATTTTTAAGGCGATATTATATCATCATGTTATTATTTGGATATCTACCCTGCAACAAATTTAACCTAAATAGTATAATAAAACGTGTTATAAAAGTTATCATGAATGACACTGACTTTTACATGACAAATAGGAATTAGTTACGGCATTCATCTCTATCTGAATACAGTTACATGAATGTATTCTTTATTTCCAAAAATTAGTGAACTTCACTTGTGTAAGTTTTTCAACACAATTTATTCCTCATTTAACCCATCTAAACTCGCAGATGTCTCTTTAACTATTCCTTTTACTTGCCAGACATTTTTTATTTTCAGCATTGAAGTGGGGATCTGTCTCACGCGAAAAACTTATTATTTATTCTTTGAATATAAAAAGTTTCTTATCACTTCCTTTGATTGCAATAAATAAATGTACTTTCAATCATTATCTTGTCAAAAAAGAGAGAAATGTAGCTCACCTTGAACAGAGAGAGACATAAGAGTTGCTAAACTATAACCAAGTCAAAAACATAATGGGGAAATGGAGTGCAAAATACACTGAAACAAAAAGGGTTTTCATCGGAATGGGAGAATTCATTTGGAATAAATGAATATGTGACATTCTAATACTTGTATAAATATACACCCAATCACTTTTTAACATAAAAAATATGTTAAATAAAGAATGATCGTATGAAAAATACAAGTAAAGAATTGTTATCTACATGTATTTCTTATAAAGACTCTGGAAGAAAAACCCAATGAGTAGACAATTTGACTGAGTTCTGAATATTTATATGACAGATTGGTTTTGAGGGTAACATCTTAAGCAATTGGGTTTACAATATTTATTAGAAAAACATCTCAGCCACAAGCATCTGATTATGCCAATGAATATAAAGAATAATAAGTCTATTATACGAATATGACATGATACCTTCTTTTAGTGACTCTCCACTCATGTGTATTTTAACGGACAAAATAATTTTATATATATGTTTTTTTTTTTTTCATTTATTCTGCTTTAACCCAGATTTCATTGTAAAAGTCATCATGAATGACAATGACTTTCAGATACTGATAGTGTTGAAGAGTTATCCAAGGTTTTTTTTTCTCTCTCTCCGAATACGTTTATTTTTAGGTTAAAAAATAGTGAATTTGACTCATGTAAGTTTGTATTGTATTCCTGAATTTTTATTTTTTACTTTTGTAACTTTGCAAATGTCTCTTTTGCTTTTGCCTGCTAATCACTGTATTAAAATACAACAATGAAACAAAGCTCTGTCTTACAAGGAAAAGTTATTACACGTAGTTTTTTAATGTGAGAATTAATTACGAGAATTCTTTGTCTGCAGTTTCTTATCACTCTTCTGATTGCAAAAAAATGTATATTTTCAATTATAACATTGAATCATTATCTTGTCAAAATGGAAAGGGTTGTAATTAACCTTGTAATAAAACCGTTATAAAACTAGCCTTGAAAAAAGTTCAAAACATGAATGGGAAATGAAAAATACAATACACTGAACTTGGAAAGGGGTGTTTGGTCGAATAGGAAATTCAATAGATTCAAATGCGTATGCAGCATTCATATATGTAGACAAATTGTGAAAAATACATGATACACAGTGAGAGGTGTAGACATTACTGTTTTTACCCATGAAAAGATTTCCTACTTCTTCATTTTTTCAAAGATGTCTATTGCTTTGAAAAGAAAAATAGAATTGTTTATTGGACTTTTTGTTCTTTTAACGAACATTGATCGGTTTTCTATGATATCTTTGAGTATCCTTGAATATAAAATTTTCTGAACGATAATCCCATTAAAAAAAAGCAGTCAGGCATAATATTAATAGATATCAAATGACAAAAAGAAACAGTGCACAAATAATGCAACCTTTTCATTTAATAATTTGCAACTTCAAACTTGTTCTGATACAGACAAATTTGTAAAGTCAGTATTAAATAATCGGACTTTCAGACACAGGTTATTGACTGAGTAATTTGTCTCTACGGAGTGCCTCTCTATACCTCAATAACATCCGCTCTGCCGTACAAATATCAACAGTTCTCGGTATTGGTGCATATTTGTAATCTGTAGGGTAGCAGAGGTTTGTAAACTCTTTCACTGTTAGAGTCTTGTTTGGAATCTTGGTTGTTATCTGGATTGAGATTTTGTTGTAAGTGTTGTTTTTTAGGGTTTGGTCTTTGGTAGCACTTCAACTGTTGTCTAATTTGGTGGCATTTCGTTAACTGGGTAAGTGCCATTAAAAGTTTTGAGAAAATCAAGTTTTTGTTTGAGAAAAAAATAAAATTGTTGTCCTCCTTTATATCTGTATTGTTATTATATTAGGGATGTCTTGACTCTTTTGTATTCGCCATTGGGGAGCTAAAATAGTACGTTGTTGTTGTTGTTTGAGTTAAATCAGAAGTGATTTGGCCTGGAAGTCTTGGATCAGTCAAATTAACTAACTATAACAAAAACCACTTAATGTATGTTTCGGACTGTAATGTACTTTAAACAATACGCATTGCTCGAATAAAATTCTCTTAATACACAGCGGCATAGTTTATATAACATTAGATTTTGTTTACAGATCGAAGTAGTTGAGCAAATTTATATGCAGAATAATATTCTATGAAGTAATTGTTTGTCAAAAATATTGGTGAAAAGTATGATCTTGAATGAAAGTTTCAATTGAACAGAATGCCAATGAATTGTCCACAAACGATGAACAATTCTTATAACAGTCAGTAAATATGGTTCGTGTGTCATTTAAAAAGATAAATTATTAACTGGAGACGTCGATATATTTTATGCAGTAAATCCGTGAATACACCGGGTTATTATTAATTTACTAAATCCTCTGTTATATTGGACAGGGATTGTCCAACATCAACTGTTTTACGGTAGTTTAATCTCGGGTTGTTTTCAAGTTTATTGATTAAAGGAAATGTCTGTCCTCTCTATTGAATTCTTTTACAATTGTCTAGCGTGGTATTGTTCTTTTTAGCACAGACTGCTCTCTTCTTTCTTTTTTTTCTCTCCCCTCTCTCCGCAAAAGTGATTTTTAAATCCACTTTGAGAAAGGCTATGGGCAGGAATATTTTTCAAGTCTTTGCAATGATGACAGGGATTGAATATCATAATATTTGTATTCTTAAGCTTAGTGCATGTACATAACTCTAGTGAAAGTAATATCAATTTGAATAATGAACTCGTGGGGAATACATCACTGTCCAATACTTTCCTATCTTAAATTTTCTGAAATGCTTCCTGATTAAATTAATAGTTTCTCGGCCATTGTTTTAACTATTTGATCGTTTTCTAAGAGACGCACATTTTCATAAAGCAATATATCAATAAACGTTACATTTGGGATTTAAAAATGTTGTGTAGACTAGAAAATGGTCAATAGGTCTGGTCAGTGGTCATATGTGACTTTACAAAACCAGACATCCGGGCAGCTTTTTATATAACACATCAGGTTAACTATAGATGGACAGTACACCTGACTTTTTTATCTATCGATGCCGGGGTCGATGTTCTGTCTCTCGCCAGCACCTATCACCGCATAATTATAAATTGAACTTTCATTTACCTCTTCTGATGAGGGAACAACCATGTAATTACGCAAAAAATGCCCTGTCATGATATACGTTTGTCTTTTTATTGTGTGAAAAATTAGTCTTTGCCCCCTTTGTACTCTGTTGTAGATCTGAAAATGAAAGCATTTTTGCTTCAAATTGCAAAACTAGCATATTTATATATAACAGCAGATAAATGATATTTTATTGATAAAAGTAATTATCCGACTCTCATGATGTTTTTAGAAGGAGATTAACTTGACAGATATATGTTATTAACAAGCCAAATGCTTATAATAACTAATAGAAATAGTCGATACGTGAGTTAATTCAACAAACCAAATAAGACTATATCAGTGAAAGAGTACGCCATACGGCTTCAGTATGCAGTCAAATGAAGACACTGAGCTAAAAAAATCTTGTGCTGAAAAATAAATTTAAACCTGAATTTCTGAGGATTGAGCTGCTCTGTTTAAATGTATTTTTCCTTTAAAGATTTGGGGTAAAGATATTTGATTTTGATTAAATAGATTGATGTTACTCTATCAAATAATGATATAGAAATGGATTTAATTCTAACATTTTCGTTTTCCTCTTCAGAATGATTCCTGTCGATCTAATGAAGAGGACCTGTAAATAATCCTATAGACCAAGGAATGGGTACAGGATTCAGTGCGGTATGCTCAAGCAAACGGTCTGTCATTATTTCAAACAGCATAAAGGCGGTCAGACAGGATCCGGATGTGGACTCGGACGACACACCCGTCAGAATTCCCACCAAACTCCATGCTTGTGAGTCCCGTGACTCAGGAATCGTCGAAAACGAGATTTCCCACTACCTTAGCTACAGTCGCCCGGATGTGAACATAGAAGATGAAATTTTCGAGGATGACCACCAGTCTGACAGCGATAATTCTAATAATTCTGACGATACAGTGTATAGACTTGAACAATTGGAGAACAAACCATTGCGACCCCATTCCTGTCGTCTTGGGAACCGTGGTAACACTGCAAAAAATAGAAAAAATGATGATTCCTATGTAGAGGAGGACAAATTAGTGCGTTTATTACGTCAGTCTAAATCTTCCAATCCACATGCAGACGATGATGTGAGTGATCTAGATAGAGAGGACAGCTTTTACCAAGGATTTAGAGTCGAATCAGCTCGTAGGGGAAATAAGCGCAAAAGCGCAAAGAGTTGTAAGAGCGATGGAAAAAGATCTTCGAAAACAATTACTGATTTGAACAGCTCCTCCGATAATGAAGACTGGAGCGACTCTGAGTTCTGGACAATTCCGGACGAGACAGACACGCTTTCACCCGGAAGTAAAGGAAGTGTGAACCGGAAGGGATGGGTAATGGAGGAAGACGCCATCACGCACGAATCGTCAGGTTCGACAACTCCAACATCCACAAGATCGGGACAAACCATAGACTATTACAAAATTGTAAGTGAGAGCTACCAAAGATATGATGCAAATCTGGCCAAGAAGGCAAGCGAGCGGTCCATATCGAGCATCCTACTAATGCCAGTTGACGGGTTTCAAACCCCTACTAACTCTGTGGATTTATTTGATACTTCATTTAATAGCTTTCCATTACCATTCCACTTGCAGCGGGTGAGTGCACCATAAGCTAGCAATAGGCGTTTTATACAGTGTTTCTCAGTGTACTTTAAAGTCACTATATATGGTTCCGACGTCTATGTTCTGTTCAGAATACTGATAAATTATCTCATACAAGCTTGGGCTTGAAATCAAAAATTGTAAAACCATCTAAGTTGCCTTTTTATGAATGACTCACTGACAGGGTGGGTCGGGGATCGGGATCAATATTTATTTTGTTACTTAGTTTCCTAACATATTACCTGAGGAACACTGATGCTTCATCACACTGCACATTTTATTTTGCAAAAATGTTTATTTCTTATTTATTGGCGTAATTTCTCAACTTACCCAAAATTGCTGTAGTAACTTAATTCTTTCTCTGCATATTCTTAGCATATATTCAAAATTGTATCTATTCACCCCATATAGTTTTGTACATGTATTATTCTTGAGGAAAATTACTATACAGAATCCACTTCAAGGTTTGTGACGGTGTCCGAGAGCTGATTTTTTTTTTCAAAAGAAATTCTTATTATTTTATTTAACGTTTTACTTTCACAATTATTTTTTTTAACCTTGTAAAGTATTATAGTTTTGTGAGAATTTTAAATTTATCAAAAAATTAAAAAAAAAAAAAAAAAAAAAAAAAAAAACTTTCTGTTGCATCAATCTATACCAAGGGTATTGAAGAAAGAATGCCAATCCTGTAAACTACAATATTTTAAAATACTCCACAGGGTTTTCTCGAAAATTACACTATCTACACGACAGACCTTGAAGAGAGTTGGTCAGATTTTTAAACATCAGAAATCTAAGATAATCAAAAAAAGTCTATGCGGTAGTACATAAATCGTTAAGCAGCATGGAACATGTCTTGGACATATAAGATTATAAGAAAGAAAACATTTCACATTTAAACGTAAATTTTGTTGAGAATGGTTTCGCCATAAATACCTGTAACTCTATACTTTTCTTCGATATTCATTTACCTTACACCGATGAAGAGGATATTAAAAAAGTTAAACATGCTGCTTAATTTATGATCCACTCTGATATTTTGGAGCAGGTGGACGAGTATTCTCAATAAATTAAATGAATGCATTTAAAAAAAACTCCAAATATACATGGATTAAAGATAACTGTAAAAGCAAATTTAAAAAAGGTACATGGAGGCTGATAGGAGCCAGTTATCATGGAGGCGGGGTTTTTTTCGGTTTTGTTTCAACATATATTGTAAAAAGAACTATTAAATATTAATTTTAAATATACTCAAAAGAAGAAACCTCAATGATGTAAAAAAAAAATTCATACTTCAAAATGAACACGGGGGTCCATTTAATAAAATATCGACTGTCAAATTGTCATTTCCTGCTATATATATTACGCAACTTTAACCAATATCAAATGAGCGAAACTACATGGGAAGCAAATGGAAATTTGTACATCGTGTCTGTCTAAGCCGCTATCAGATCAGCGCTCTATTACTGTAAGTAGAAACATTTCGTTTATTGGTGCACTTATAATGCAAGTATACATTAAATTTTCCATATATCAAAGTGTGCTGCTTGATTACCAATTATACTCGGATTTTATTCACAACAGATCTTGACATTTTTGAAGTTTAACTGCAGTTTTTGATATAGTAATTTTTTAAATACCATTTTGCCTTCAAATCGGGGTGATGGTTGTTGTTGTTTTTTTTTTTTTGGTTGTTGTTTGCATGGTGTTTTTAAAAACTGTATTAAAGGCTCTTCAATCTAAATTTATGAAATAATGAAATGATTTTTTTGAAATTTTATTTGCATTTTTTTTTTATATTCAGGCAATGGAAATGTATTTGCATGAAATTTTGAAATTAATGTTACACATTTATACATACCTAAGATGGAAAATTGTTTATTTCAGATTTAGCCTTATTTTAATCATTCAATATATATATATATATATATATATATATATATATATATATATATATATATATATATATATATATATATATATATATAAGCACTAAAAATGACCAACGACACGAACAATAATAATTGTCAAATTTTCGGGACGACCTGTCCCTTCCTCAGGACAAAGAAAAAAGTTAAGAAGTCATAAAACAGAGGAAACAGAGAAACAAAAACAACTAGCCTTACTACTAAACTACCAAATACTAAATATTTACAGTGTTACATGTTTAAGTTGAAGTTTATAAACAGTTGTGAACAAAGAAATCCGGAGCGCTATGAATTGCGTCCGGTCTATCGGGTGTACTCTGGTGAAGTGCGATTTACATAATTGAACGAATTAATTATCGCTAATTAATTACGACCAAGCAGTAAATCGTACATTGTCGTATTCTCTCAAAATAGCGTAACTATACATGATAAAAAGAAATTAAAGATAATATGGAAGGGCAATTTTAAAATATGAATTTGGATATATTATAAATTTGGAAATCTGATAAAAGAAATAAACAAAAATGTAAGCTGTAAATATTTGGGTAGGTTGTTCCAGAATTGCTAATGCGAATTAACGGTAAAGTTTACACTATATAGAGAGAATGAACTTGTTTGTTACAAACCGGGATTGGGTCTAGTTCACGTTCATCCTGGTGAAGTCATTAAGTTTGTTAATACCATTAGGGCGGAATGACTTCAGCCTGTGCATCAAGAACTTTTCCTTGCCTTTTCTCTGAGCGTCTGTCCATTTTGGATTATGGTCAATAACCACTACTGTCATGTCCTTCCATTTGTGACCTTCAAGGTTGAAATGTTCCCCAACGGGTTCATTGAGTTTTTTGATCCAAATGGTAGAACGGTGATTATTGACTCTCCTGCGGAGATCTCCTATTTCACAAACATACTGTTTGGAGCAAACTTTGCAACTGATGAGATAAATGCAGTTGTCTGTTTGACAGGACAAATTCCCTAGTATTTTGTAGCTGCGGCCTGTAACGGGGCTGTTAAAGCTGTCTGTGTCAGAGCTTTGCTTACAGAGAAGACATTTTCTGTCAGAGCAAGTTTTAAAGCCCCCGTTAGGTACATGTAATGGATTGTCCAATCTGGTTCTTACTACCATGTCCTTTAGGTTCCTCGGACGTCTGTATGCAGCCAATGGGGGCTCCTTAAAGACCTCTGCCATTCGTTTATTTGAGTGGAGAATTGGCAGGTTCTTTTGAAGGATACCGCTGAGGTTCTTAAGGACGGGATGGTATGTGGTTACCAGAGGGACCCTGCCGCTATTGTATACATGTATATATATATATATATATATATATATATATATATATATATATATATATATATATATATATATATATATATATATATATATATATATATATACATACATAATTTACAATAAATTTTAAACTAAGATAGCTGATAGAAATATAAATACATGTATAGGAAGCACAGATAAATTCACTTTTAGATATATCGACGACGTATTATCAATTAACAATAGTTATTTCCATTCTTGTGTCGACACGATATATCCCAGTGAGCTAATTAAAGTAACCAAAGAGTCTGACACATCTGTTTCAAACTTGGCTATCTTACTAGAAAAAGACGTTAATGGTAACCTAACAACAAAGCTTTATGATAAACGAGACGACTTTCAATCATCAACTCCCCTTACTTATGCAGCAATATACCTTATCACATGCATACGGGGTTTATATCTCTCAGTTGATTCGATACGCAAGAGTATGCTCTACGTATGAACAATTTCTAAAACGAGGTTAGTTATTGACGAACAAGTTGATGAAACAAAATATCAATAGTCTCGTCACCATTTCTTAAGTTCTATGGTCGTTACAATGACCTTGTCAGCAATTACAATCTATCATTAAATAAAATGCTGATTTTTTTTCATACTAATTGTCAAGCCATTATTCACACACTGAATTCTCGACGGATTTTCCCGTCATTTCAAGATCAATACAAGGAGCACACGGCGGGTGTGAACGGTCGGCAGGGGAGGCTCACTCCTCCATGGATCCTGATCCAACCTATGTTGTTTTAGAGGTCCGTGTTTGCTCTGCTCCCGATTTGTAATGTTTGGATTTTGAGCTTGAATACTGTTCGTTATCTCCATATATTTCTCCAGCACCAACCTGGGGTTGAACTCTCGACCTACGGAATCTGTCTTCTAGCAGTGCAGGAACAGCCTGCTAGACCGCTCGGCTATGTAGACAAGTCAGAAAACTTGCTTTAGATGCCGATGGAATTCTTGCAGCGCTCTTCTACATGTACACTACACGGTCACTGAGAATGGACGTGCGATACAGCTATTTGGACATTAGTTTCAGTAACGATTCTCTAATAAAACATATCCAGATAGCTGTATCTCACGTCCACTCTCAATGATTGTGCACTGCTAGGAGACAGATTCCGTAGAGTTCAACCGGGGTTGGAGTGGGAGTGGGAATCCATATGAATTGAAAAGAAAATAAGGGACTAGTGGGTAAAATATATATTATCGTATGAAACAATTTGGTTAAAACGGTGACACATCAGAATAAAACTAGTAACATACTTAACAATTATTATAAAATATTACAGATTGTAAATTCGTCAAGGGCATTTTTCTATATAAAACCTACCATCAACTTCTTAATATTGCCTAAATTTTCCGGATCAGGAACCAGGTTGAATTTTTTGAATTTTTTCTCATTCTAAAGTAACTTAAAGCCCTGTGTTGACCAAACTTGCACGGCTGAAATATCTATGGATGCACGCTGCATGACTTGTTGCGGATGTTGGATCTGACCTACATTTTTTGAATGAAGGATTAGGTTGAAGTTTTTGGAACAGGTTCATTAGCCCTATGTTCACCAAAATTGCCTGGAGTTACATCTAAGGATGTACACTTATGAACTTGCTTCGGATGCTGGATTTGACCTACATTTTCTGGATGAGTTTTAAGAGCAGGTTCATTCTAAAGTGACTATATATTGAATAGGATTACTTTCCAAAGCCCTAATATAATATATGCTAACCAACTTTTGATTTAAGATA